TTAGAAACATTTCTATTTGGCCCTATCCATATAGGCCAATTTCCACAAGTGTAAGGGGTTAATACTGATTGGCCAGATGTTGTTACCTCTTGAAGAGCTGATGCTTGGCTGTAAATGTGGCATTCAAAAATCTGCATAAGAGTAATCTGTCTCCATCCAGTTTTTGTCCACACAGAAATTCACCCATATACCTTATAAAGAACTCTAAAACTACAGTGGCATCAATCAATATATTTCCTCTTCAAGGGAGGAAAGAAAACCATCAGCACAGCCTCAATGCTTGGATTTCTGGACCCCTGGCCTAGTTCACATGAAAACATACTATAGTGTATGATGGTATAAATAGTATTTACTGTAGTATACTGTAGTATTTACAGTTAATTATAGTATAAATCCTGTAGTAAAATAAAACTGTGGCATATACTGTAGTAATTAATGTAGTGTTTTTGTGGTTTGTAGTATCCTTTAGTATTTACTGTGAGGATTTTTGCAGACATTACTGTAGTATTTACTATAGTGTTTCTGCTTTATTGTCTTTGACATAGAAGTTGAGGCTTTCTACTTCAGGAAACCTACCGGAAAAATACTAAAAGAGCACATTTTCCATGTCCTTTAATTAATCATGCCTGGGGTCTTAACAAATAGCTCAGAGCTTCTACTCTTTTTAATAACCTGTACAGAACACAATATGGTCTATACTTGGCATGTAGGCTTCTCACTTATGGGTGGCACAAATTGTGATACGGGGGAGGGGAATGGGCAGGGTATATGCAAATGAATACTATAGCATTTACTATTGTTAAAAAAGTGTAGTGCTTTTGCGGACTGTAGTGTTTTTGCGGACATTACTGTAGTAATTTCGACAGTGTTTTTTTTGTGCGTATAATAGTGTTGTTCTTACAGTATACTACAACATTCTATAGTAAGTACTACACATTATCAAGGGATACTACAGTGTGTAGTATAGTATTCTACAGTATACTACAGTTTACTATAGGATTCTATTGTAAGTACTGTAGTATTCTATAGTAAACTGTGGGAGGCCACATTGAAGCTCTCAGTCTTCCCTGTTGCTCACAGTAATTATCAGTCCATTTCTACTGTATCTCAGATCAAATGGTGAATTAATTGTAACTCAGTTCATACCTTTGTCAACTGCCACTTCTTTCTGTCTCCCATGCTGGTCTTTTAGCCTAAATCTTCTCTTTTAGATTTCCTAACTTAACTGGAATTCAAATACTATTGAACCCAATGGTGTAGATCGCTAGCCTTATGTAGTGCCAGTAGGATGGTAACATGTTAGACAAGTACTCACTATTTCACATAAATTCCATTTTATTTAATTCATAGTCTTCACATCTTGTATATTTGTAGATAGTCCTACATATTTCAGTACTATGTTGGTACATATATTACTGCCATGTTGAAGGAAATAGTTCATTTGAACCCTAAGGGGTAAGAGACCCAGTAGTAAATATGCAAACACCCCACATATTGTAGGCTTCTCTCTACATATGGTGGGTGCCGTGAGCGACAGCTACAAGCCAGCATCTCCCCCTTTGAATATGCATTTCCCATTATATGCTTGGATGGTCTTAAAACAGATTGATTCATCTCAGAGAGATGTTTAAGCAGAGGCACACGTTTGTGGATGCAAATTCATGGTGAGTCTTCCTTTGATTATGCAAAGCGGGAGCCACCATAAGCATATATTCGGGGAGGTGTTATACCAATGCAAATATGAAGCCCTGTTGCATTACTTGGTAATTAAGAGTCGGTGTTATCAGGCCACTTGGTTATCTCCACTAGTTAATTAGCTTCGGAGCTTCATTGTGAATATTTAATGAGGGTATTGTGAAAGGGCTAAAATTGGTTCTTGGTACACCATTGCTATCCCTTTATGAGAAACAGTAATGTGAACCGTCACCATTTATATTGTCGAATAGGTGATGTTATTGGTGATGTGTCTGTTTGTCTTTGTGTCTCCTTCCTGCTTTTGGGTATTATGAAAGTTCAAGGTAAGAAGTGAAGATGTTTAAAAGGTAAGGTATAAATAACATCATTCAGCATTGTCATAATTGGACGAATATATTTTAGAATATAAAACCCAAGTGTCAGTGGTGACATTTCTATTCAATTCTACTTAGTATATTTACAGCTGTGTAAGATGCTCTACTCTATCTCCTTTGCAGGTAATAAGCCAAATGCAATCTTTTTGTCATCCAGTATCAATTCATTTGCGTTCATAATGGTGCAATATGCATATTGCGGACAGATTGCATTTTGCTTAGTTTAAATCATCTTCATGATGCGTATGAGCTTGAATCATTTGACATTGTGGGGAACATGCATTGGTGCAACGTTTAACCATTTGTTAGACCAGCGTATGTATACATTTAAAAGACTCAGGCTGAACATAGATTGAACATCCACTGACTTCATTGAATTTGTATGGCTTCATATTCCTCACCTTACTTGATCCTTCTCCCCAATAAAATGAAGCCAATGTGAAGTAGGCTTACGCATAGTTGGTCTATATGTGAAAAGGCTGTACTGTATGATACTGTAGCAGTGCCAGAAATGAATTCCTTGGCACTGTAAGCATACAAACACACACAAACACACACACACACACAATCAGACACAAATACACACACCCTAATTTCAACTTTGACCAACTCTCTAAAATGGAGTGTTTATGATAACGAAAATACGGTGGAATAGAAAGGATTTAGAGTTTATCTGACAATAATCTGTTTATCTTTTTTGAAGCACCTTCAAGAAGATAGCCATAGAGTAATCTCTATGATGATAGTAGCCATAAGTATTGCATGATCGCTTATCACCCACCTAGACTATAAGATACTCATGTGCTCTGACAAAGTTGACAATGTTATGGCACCTATTGTATACAGTACCTGATTGTTAGGTTTGTGACACCTGTACAGACAGATATGCTTGTTGCCATCGATTGCAAGGGTGTTCATTCTCTTTAGTTGTAATGAGCAATTAAATGTTCTCATGTAGGAGATAGTTATAGTTGTACTTTTTACCAATATGTTAGAATAATTAATGTTTTGAATTATTTTCATTGTCATTTGTGAGATGCAGTTACTTCTGCAAGTGGTTTACAAAATGTCCCCAACCTCAGGTCATTTAGTTCAGTCTGAACTTTAAACGACCTAATTTGCGTTGTACCTATGAGACATGTTTCAATTTACGTTCTCTATGTAGTGTAGCTGTGTTTGAAGCTGTTTTCAGTACCCAAAAGACACTAGAGACATATCCTATTATGATGTTGTTGTGGCTTTGGTTTCTCAGCCCAAACTAGCAGGTGAATCTCTGCTATCTCTTGGTCAGATCATGCTCCAGGTATGCAACTTAACCAGTTTAGCTCTTGGTTAAGAAAAATAACAATATACAGAAATAGATGAGGTGCAAAAGGTCTCGTTCTCACACACTCTCACACACATGTGCAAGCTGCTTAGGGCTGTGGTAATACAAGCTGCTTAGGGCTGTGGCATGATTTCCCCTTGATGTGTACTCTTTCCCTTCACTGACATACAACTAAACCACTAATGACTAATGCCAAGACAGTCGTTGCTGAGAAAAAAATAAGCTGACATGACACCGTAGGCAGAATAACACTTTGTTTGCACTCTTGGTTCATACATTAATATCCACTTCAGCAACAAGGCTTTACATTGATACAGTGCGAACGAACAATAGCATGACAGACACCATTAAAATATACAGGTTACTTAAAGTTATAACAGTGAATTTTGACAATTGCATGTTTTTTTCTTCAACAAAAATATGTTTTAAATTCAACTCACTTCGAAGTCCAACGGTCTCGAGGCCTTTTTCCGAGACCCTTTCTTTCGTTAAAGTCTTTGGAAATGTATGGTGTCTCACTTTCCAATGTGGTCAGTGACTTTGTGAGGTCAGTATATGCAGTTGAACGGATCACGTTCAGACTCCGTTTCCCATCATGCCACACACATACATTGTGGTCACATTACTTATTTTCTCCAATGGGCCTTCAGATCAGATGTTTGTATCTAATTAAGCAGCCTTCCCCTTTGATGTATTTTGGCATCTTTAAACCCATATCTGTTCTTTATCAATATCTTTATCAAGATTATATGCATATGTTAGGCTAAAATAGAGAGAAACCTAAGACCTGAGAAGATATTGTGTTGCAACGATGGATACAGAAGTTACAGTGTCGTTCGCTCCATCGGTACAAGTCATCCACCGAACATACGTTAGCCGTCATACAAAAGTCTACCTCTCACACACTCCCAGTGTCTAAAACAATTTGACATAGCAAAACAGAAAAACAAAGAATGATGAAGAAAAGACATTGACAAAAAACACCTAGATGGTTTCAATCGTAAATTGAAGCCACCTCATTCTTCATAAGTACCAATACACTTCCTATTTATCAAGTAACATCTTTCAAGTAGATGTAACTGTCCCTTCGATATTATTTTATATTTTTGCCATAAATATGGAGAATCAAGTGGGAGCCAAAGAAACATCAGGTGAAGGACACACTGACTGTTCGTTGCCTTGGTAGGTAGTGCTTCCTTCCACAGTGCAGCTCTTTAGAGATGGCACCTCCATCAAAGCGAAAGATTTGACATCTGCACGTTAGTAGTATGCTAAAGCACAAACAGACATCAGCCCGCCTTTTGTTCCTGCGTGTTCCACACACCCCCAGCCTACCCTCCCTCTTTCATTCCTCCACCCATCCATCCATCCATCCATCACCCATACATCTCTCCATCCCTCCATCCATTCCTAGATAATTCTCCCCATCTCCTCTGTCATTGGTTCCTGCGTCTCTTGTCCATCCTTTTCTTTCTTTCTTTCTTTCTTTCTTTCTTTCTTTCTTTCTTTCTTTCTTTCTTTCTTTCTTTCTTTCTTTCTTTCTTTCTTTCTTTCTTTCTTTCTTTCTTTCTTTCTTTCTTTCTTTCTTTTCCTCCCAAATGCATCTATTGGGTCTTCCTGGTGGCTGCGGCGGCAGCTTCTGCTTTAGCTGCGGCTGCCTTCTTGGTCTTGTCAATGTAGGCCTCGTGGAAGAACTGACAGAAGAGCACAAAGTAGCTGAGGTACATGAGCGAGGACCACACAATGTTCTGCACGTGTGACGGGCACTCCTGACCCTGCTGCATCCACGAGTACACCAGGTAGTTCACCACGCAGCCCACCAGCATCTGGGTGATCTGCGTGAGCGTGATGAACATGGCGAATTTCCTTGAGACCTTGAAGCCGGCCGCCCTCAGGGCGTAGTAAGAGTACATGACGGCGTGGACCAGGTAGTTCATGGTCATAAACCAGCCGCCGCCAGCCACCATGTCCTTGTAAGAATACCAGGAGTACAGCAGAACAGTCATGTGATGGTACCAGTGGAGGAAGATGAGCTTCTGCTTCCGCAGCACGATGAACAAGGTGTCACCTGCATGGTGGGTGTGGCGAGAGAGAGAGATGGAAAGACAGATGGAAGGACAGAGAAAGTAAATGAAAAGAGAGAGACAGAGACATTGAGAGAAAGAAAGCGTTAGAAAAGGGGGAGGAAATTGACATTTCAAAGTTACAAATTGAAAAGAACAAAAGTTCAGACCTTCACATAGCAAGTCATACATTTCAGGTAACACTTATTCCTTGCATTGAGTGCTATTTCAGTGTTATCTACTAATACCCTGTTCTTGGCAAATCAATGGTGTAAGCGATAAGACAGTGTGTGTGAGCAGAGCAGTCTCCAAGGTGTATCTTTTTAAAGGTTTGGCGAAAGAAAATTCAGCTTTGCTCTGTGAAACGGAGCCCACCATACCTGACTAATTGGTGAACCCACTGCTTGAAAGTGGAAAACTACCAGAGGGTTCAGAGTTAGCTCCGTGCCCCTGTCTGTCTGTCTGTGTGTGTGTGTGTGTGTGTGTGTCTGTGAGAGAGCGTGTGTTTGTACAGCATCAGTGTGTGTCTCTCTCTCTCTCTCTCTCTCTGCCTCCCATATGCCTCTGTGACAGCGAGCAGTGCTGCGGCTAAGTGGCTGCAATGTTCCATTTGCAGGCCTCAATGTGTTGGTCACGGGCCAGCAGGTTTGGCTCCACCCAACCAAAGAGCCAGAGCCAGAGCCAGGTTAGGGGTAGGGGCTTCTATCCCCCTCCCTGTGCCCCTGAGAGGGGGCTCCTGCTCTGGGCTCGTACTCGGAGCTGACAGGGTGTGGAGCCCCAGTGACCGCAGGACTGGGCAAATACAAAAGGGCTACACAGGAAGAAAGTGTATTCCCAGACACAGACTTTGGGGACGAGCGAAAGGTCATCCAAACTTGCACCCGATGGGGTGAGAGGGCACGCCTGTCGCTGAGGTCATTGAGGACAGAAAAGATAATCGAAGACGTAATTTGTTTCTTGTGCTACTGTGTGTGAAATGTCTGACATGGCAGCATCTTCATGCCTACAGATCCGTGTGCCGCTCCTCGAGTGGGTAATTTCAGCCACCACATCATTTAAGCTGGAAGTAGAGGACTAAGCATTGTTGTTCAGTAGTTTACTCCAAGGGTGGCGGGGTTGGAAAGTAATAAAGGGGAATATATATATTTTTAAAGGATATGTATGTGTATGTATGTATGTGTATGTTTGATGTACCCCCCCAAAAAAATATGTATATTATGAACATATTTTCATATATCCAATACCACAAAGTGTGATAAACCTTCTAACCACAATGGACACAAAAAGGCATTCACATGTAAAACAGATAAAGGTAGTAGTAGTAGTAGTAGTAGTAGTAGTAGTAGTAGTAGAAGTAGTAGCAGTAGTAGTAGTAGTCGTAGTAGTAGTAGGAGAAGGAGGAGGAGGAGGAGGAGGAGGAGGTAATCTTACCCAATTCTGGTGCCTTACTGAGCACAAAGGCGTAGGCCCAGAACTTGCTGACCGGCCCGTTATAGAAGCTCTGATCACACACTGACTGCTTGAGCCCTTTAGTCATCAGAATGTATGTCATGTAGCTCCCAGTGCGGACAGCACCAAATATACTGGACAAGAGAGAGACAGACAGAGAAAACAGTTAGTAGAATACAGTAAGTCAAGCCCAAGGACCCTGGAATACAGTCACTCCTGCCACAGCAAAGTTTGTACAGCATTGTTGTTTACACAACTACTGCCAATGCACACACGTGAAAACTGGCAGCATGATGACTTCTATTCAGTGAGTTCTTCACTCAAAACGATCCGGAATGTACCTTTATAATTGACCTGATAGTTATATATAGCTATTTAATGCTATACAACATGCTTACAGCATGTGCATTGGCTCAACAGAAATAGGGAACTAACAAATGGGCCACTGACAACCAGAAAGAAACAGGTGGGGGTTTAAAATGGGTTCTGAAAGGCATCCACGGGGGTGTTTACTGACTTGGTGCTCGCCAAGCCAACTCAAGTAGGGTCTTAAGAAACACTCGCCATGGACGTCCACTAAATTCGCCTGATATCAGACAAACTAAAGGAAAAGGAAACCCACACCAACTTAGGTAAGGGGATGCAAATAAACGTGGAGCAAACCAAACGGGAGAGACAAAAGATAAAAGGCTTTATTTCACAACTTAAAGAGGAAGAGCTAAACGGTGGTGTCGTTCTTCCAACATCTCTCACGCCAACTGGAGCACTCGGCCAGCCACTCTGCAAGCACAGGTGAAACTAACGACTGACTAATGAGGCGACAGGTGCAACACATCCTGACCAACGAGGACAATTCAAATCAGGGCAAGCCACACCCAAACAGAACCAACCTCGAAATTGAAATCGAGCAAAACCCCAAAGCCCATAACAACTGGACCAGTGTTGTAAAAGTCTGCTGCCTCTTACCTGAACACTGCGAGAGTGAGGGACCATAGCACCAGCGGTTTCCTCAGCTCAAACTTCTCCCTTCGTTTCATCACATGGCGGCCACCTAGTATGAAAGCAGCGTAGAGGGCTGAGAAGAGGAATGACTTCTTCCTGTAAAGGGAGGGTGGAGTTTTGTGAACATTACGCAATCGGCACTCACTACTACATGTGGTGGACTGTCAAGTAGTGTAAGAACAGAGGGCGTAAAATATGACCACTTTTGGGGTGGCACAAAAGCATGTGACAAACTTTGATTTTGGAGTGGACTACTCCTTTAATTCCACATGGAGCACTGAACAACAGCTGAAACACCACTTGGACATTTCAGATCTAATAGGCTACATACGGAAGTGCTCAGCATTATCATGAAGCACAGGTGGCCTCACGGAAGACCAGGGTGGATCAAAATAAAGCAACATTTCAAAGCAAGCTGATTTTGTTTGGTCCCAGTGGACTCAGAACGAGACATGCGGTCTAATCAATAACGTTTGGGTCGATGATGTTGCATTCTGGGAGTTAGACATGCTAGTCGGCCTAAGGTTTGAGTTTTGGGTATAATAGCAGATGTTTTTGTCTTGGGTCAATTACAAGGTTGGATTGCTTAAAATAATGACTTGGTTTATCAATTTCATTTAGTGATTCAGCATTGTGACACACCCCTCTGGAGTGGACATCCTTCTGTCTTATAACAACAATTCTATGATGCCCTTTTTGGGACCTTTGGTCATGTCATGTTGATGGACAGTAGTTGATCTAGACTAGAGCTACGTCACTTCTTTACTAATGCAATACATTACATTAAATAACAAAATGATGTTAACTATAAACCAAGAGGAACCCAGACTTTGGGATCCCATATGTTATTACCAAAACCCTAGACCAAGCAAAATGTAAATGGCGAGAACTCCCCTTCTACATTCTGCACCCTCAACTTCATATGGTGGCAACAGCACTATTTCTTGCTCTTTTCAGCTGACTAGATGGGTCTACAATAATGTATTTTTCCCTCTGAAAAATGGTTGAAGAGAGAAAAAAGGAGAAAGCTAATTAACATGTAATGACAATCAAAGCTAGATTGAGGAAGAAAATGTGTCTTGTCATTATGCTTGAGTTCGCCTCTCGGCCTAGCTGCCATCCTCCCGGCCAGATTGGAGTTGTTTTTGGAGTTTAATTAATTGCAGGAGAGATATGACCTAAAAGACCCACTCGCACCACCTTCTTTGCTCTGCCCATCCTTATAACACAAGTATTCCAGAACCAAAAGAACGGTTCAAACATAAAAAAAAAAAAAATCCTGACCTAAAAAAGGCTCTGCAAACAAAATAAATCGAACGTTATAGAAACGTAATAGATCCTAACTTCCTATATGGACACTCACTAACTAGCCTGTGTTGACCATGTGAATAATGTCATACTGACAGAATTACTGTAACACTTCTGAACAATCTTACACCAAACAATATCCTGCAAGGACATTACTGTTATGCAAAATGCAAAAATTGAAACATCCATCTGTGTTTGCTTACAGGCTTGATAACTGATTGAACAAAGGACAAAGCAGTGCAGTCAAAGTCCAAAGAATCTGGTTTCACACAATGATAGCACGATTCGGAGGGCAGAATGACATCATTGTTTCGATGCAAATAAACAAGGGTGAAGAATGGAGAGACTCACAGTAAGCACCCTACTTAGCGAGGCAGAGCGAATTCTAGATGAGCAACAATCACCACATTCCTCACACACTGTCTTCAGACTAAAAAAGGTTAAAGGTCAATGATAAATGGCCTTCAGTGTGATTCCTCAGAACAGTACGAATCTTCAGAGATGTGGATACTAGGAAGTAGAGGACCAAATACCCTTTTCACACAATCGCACCAAACCCAAACCAAACTGTGCTAGTTTGGTTATTTCCTTTTCACATTGTCCTTTTCAGCACAGTTCCCAGAAACCAGATAACCAGGTCAGCTCAGTCCAGCTTGGTTTGGTTCAGCTCAGTTTGTCTCAGTAGTGTGAAAAGCCCTACAGAGTATGGTCTGAATGAGGTCCAATAACATGAGAGGAGGTATTGCTATTGGGAAAAAAACACAAAGGTCGGAAGAAACCTGAGGCATGGTCAAAGTCGACAAATGCGTTCGAGGGCTGTCTCTCTCCTTGCTTGATCAGGTCAGCTGTGGCCAAGCTATGCCTCCAGGAATGGAAATTCATTTCAGATGTCAGTGTGAATTCACATCATGCCTCCACACCTCGTAGTAGCTGCATGTGGCAAGAGCATTCATGTTGGAGCTTCCATTAGGGCTGAATGTGTCTCTTGCTGCCTCTTTATACCTCGGTCAGAATACATTGAAGATGCCTCTAGATGCTGATCAATGGTCAGTTTAGCATTTTCATCATGGTTAAGGTAGGTTATGATTGGAGGAGCATAAGCTGATCCTAGATCTGTGCCTCTAAGCAACTTCTAACAGAGCAGCTCTGTCAGGGTTATAGTCAGGGATATGCAATCATCTCTGAATGACAATATCAGAGAAGGTGTACTAATCCAAGAGATTTATCTTCACCTGAAACAAGATTTATGCACTTCAAACAATTTCAAAAGATGTGTCTTCCTTGGCACTGGACTAATTTCTTTATGATTGATTTATTTGTTCTCTACTCCTTTCTGACAATATTGAACCACAAAGCGACCTGAGACAGGATATATTTAGACAAAAACTCAGTTTGGACTCAAAAACCCCAGCTGAATGCACTGATTGTAAGTCACTATGGATAAAAGTGTCTGCTTAAATGTAAATGCAATGCTATTTGGAAACCCCAACTTACAGGAAACTTTACACCATGAATGCTGTTCCTGACTAATAGTGATAGCACAACCCACTGGGCAAAAACTGGTTGAATCAACGTTGTTTCCACATAATTTCAACAACAAAAATGTAACGTAATGACGTTGAATCAATGTTAAAAACTGATCCGATTTTTTTTTACTCATCAACGTAAGGGAATTTTGTCTTTTTCACCCAACTTTTAACCTAAATCCAATGACATTATGAAATGTTTTGTTGATTTCACATTGAATTCACGTTAGTTGACAACTCAACCAAATGGAAATCAAAACTAGACGTTGAACTGACGTCTGTGCACAGTTGGAATGTACAAGGGGAATGAATGGTGCAATTGAACCGATGCAGCATAATGGAAAGTGACAAAGTCAGTTGCAAGTAGAGTAGTGGAATCAACATTGATTTCTCACACCTTTCTGTATTCTTCCAGCTGAGATTTGTTCCAAATAGCTGTACAATTAACCTTAGCTTATTTGGCTGTGTATTGCACAGCGTAACACTGATTCAAAACTAATATTCACTGTGAAAATAGTAAATGTCATATACAGCAAAGGTCGCACATTGAGGCTTCAAACAAAACCATTCGTTTTGTTTGTGAATACTAGTCCATTTTAATGTAAGAAAAAAGAAAATGTTTCTATGCTTTAAATGGAGTGGTAGCCATTTTTCTTCATTAATATATTGTACCTCTCACATCCCTGAGAGCTATCCAACAGAGCTCCTCTTTTTGCCAGTCATCGTCAGCATCCATGGAGAGCCAGCCAACTCCCATGCATTCCCTTATCGCTGGGTGAGACTTGCTGGGCGGTAGTCGAGTCTGTGTATCAGAGCCGCTGCTGGAGCTAAGAAAACATTAGGGGCTGATCTAATGCTTTCTGATAGAGCGAGCAAAGCAGTGGCGGGGATCGCATTTCCTCGTATGTCTGCATCATGCATCAGGTCATCCTGTCAAACAGAGCTAGCTAGTGGCTTGAACTATATATATATTAATAAAACGTTGATGACTTTTAATATGGAGGTCAAATTAGAACTAGTGACTGAACCTGGTTTTAATCATAATGTAGGATCGCACAATACTGGATCATAATGACAACCACATACTGCAGCTCTGTGCATTTACTTGTGGAAGAATATGTCCACTGGTTTGGGGCTTGTTTGAAAAATCATTGCAATAAGTGTCTTGCTCTGCAAATATTTAAACAGTATAACAGGCCTATTTCAGAGTGCGAGATTAGGGAAAGTAAAAACAGATCTCTAAACAAATCTTAACTGAAGGCATAAATCACACCTGAGCATGATACTGGACAATGGCAGGAACTATTTGGCTCAATTTATGTAATACAAAGGAGTCTTTCAATGTTGCTGGCTAGATCTGCACACACCTTCCAAGCAGTTCACAATAAGTGGCCCTTCCCCTCCCCCTAGCTGTGTTGGTCAAAGCTGGTAGCTAACCTGCTGTGTAACTTGGATCTCTATTAGCTGGAGCGGGAGATTTCTCCCCTTACGTAACACTGACTTTGTAGTGTGAGGATGAGTGTGTGTGTGTGTGTTCAGTCTTGGAGCTTCCCTCACAGTAAAGTGACTCAGTTTAGGGCGAATAGCCTTGTCCCCTGGCTTGCTTTGGTTGTTTGTAGGTTGCACAGTAGCAGAGGAATCAGTAGTGGTGTCAAGACAGCCCCCCGAGGTGGTACGCCAAACTTTCGGTTCCGTAACAAACTGCTACATAAGGCCAAGCTATAAATAAGTCCTGGATATTACAGATTAGACAGTCCGGTAAGAACCATCCTGAGTGTAATTCAGTGTTGTAGGACTGTAGGCTTGGAACAGAACATACAGTTTCTTGCATCGAACAAAACCGAACCTCGTCCCCAGGCTCAAATTTCTGGCGCATAGAGCCTGGTAACAGTGTGGGACTGTTTGGAAGTTAGCGGGTGTGGATTTACTGAGTGACATGCTAATCAATTCGTATTCTGAGCAAATCACACGACTATGAGGCATTGCTCTAAATCGAGGTGGGAGAGGGTCTTCACTAATTAACACAGCCACAAAGTCATAAACCCTGCCTATTTCTACAATTTATCTTTTTAAAATCTGATTTTAAACCTAACCTTAACCACACTACTAACCTTAAGCTTAACCTTAAATTAAGACCAAAAAGCATATTTTTGTAACCAATTTTGAATTTGTGGCTATGGAAGCTAGTGGAAACTGAGAGGAAGCGAGCCTGCGACAGTTGTATTACATGGGACTTTACGAAAATTAAAATGCAAATCAATTTATAACATTTTTGACATGCTTTTTTCTGGATTTTTGTTGTTGTTATTCTGTCTCTCACTGTTCAAATAAACCTACCATTAAAATGATAGACTGATTATTTTTTTGTCAGTGGGCAAACGTACAAAATCAGCAGGGGATCAAATACTTTTTTCCCTCACTGTATAGTAGGAAGTGAATGAAAGCTCTGCAAAGGTTTGAATTAGACCTATTGCCATTTTGCCAAGTGTAGATCATTAGGGAATAGAAGGATGCATGGTAAACGGTGCAAATTAGATGTCCATTTAAACTCATTGCCACTTGCACAAATGCAAAAACACATTTAATGTGATACACTGTTGGGTTGAAAATAGCTATGCCTCTGCAAAAGCTGTTTGGTGAAATTGACTTTACGATGGAATGACTGCTCTTTCCTCTGTTTGCATCTTGACTCTCAGCTGACACTGTGACAAGATGGCAGAGTAAAGTTTGAGAGAGGGTTTTTCTCTTGAGAAACGTTCACAGGGAGTCATCCCATATCTCCATCTCTGTCTCCCCAATTCAGATGAGCTCCTGGGTGACTCAAC